TTTTTATTAATAATTATAACTTGAAATAAGTAACTTATTTAAATTATCTTTTCAACTTTATTAAATTTTCAAGTTATTATATATTCAAATTTAATGAATAAATATATAATATAATTTTTAATTTTAAACCAAGTACTCATAAATAATCATGGAAGCTTGAACTTAAACTCTTTTTTTTAACGAACACAATATTAAGCTCGAGCTCAACTTATTTTGTAAATAAGTTGAGTCCAAATCGAGTTTAACTCAAGTAGTTTATGAGTTTCTTATAAATTATTTTACTTGTTAACCACCCTAGTTTCATTTAATATAATGAATAAAAGTATTTAAATTAATAATAATATCAATCATTAAATTAAACTAAATAACTTTAGTTTCACTATACCAAACAACCCTTTAATATATGTTGTAATTATTTTTTTTTTTTGGTATATCAAATAATGGAATATACAATAAGAATAGACCTCTCATTCTCAAATCTCTCTCTACCCATCCTAAGATTCAAAATTGAGGTTGTTAAATTAGGGACTCAAACTTTTAACTACTAAAATGTCCTCTACGAGATGTTGTAATTATTTTTTAAAATAAAAACAAAATAGAAATAAGTGTCTTAAATGATATTTTAAAAAATGAAGTACTAAATTTGAACAGCTAAAATTAGAAATTAGGTTTATGAATAAAGGGGAACGGAGGGAGTAATATAAATTAACTTGATAATTTTATACAATAAACGAATGATAGTTAAATAAATTTTCATATAAATAAAAATACTCAATAAAAATTGTATATATAAAAAAAATTTAATTGTCATTTATTTATCATATATATTATTAAATTTTTTTAAAAAATTAACATATAACAATTAAATAAAACCACAAAGATTGTTATTAAACAAATTTAGTATAAAAAAAGTGTTATGTAATTCAAAACTATTAACGGATTAGATAGTTTTTTTTTTTTTTTTTGTCAATAATTACATAATCATAATAAAAATGGAAAAAATACAAAAAAATAATCGAAAGTCAAGGTAAAAAAAACCCTTTTCTGTGCAATATTTACCTAAAAAAAGAAAAACATTTTCTGTGAAATATTTACCTACAATTAGAAAAACATTTTCTGTGCAATTGTTTATAGAACTTCGGAAATTCTTCCCGTGTTACCTACGGGAGCGAGGGCAATACCTCTGACTTCGATTGGGAGGACACCTGCTGCGACCTGCGAGTGCGAGAAATGCGGCACCGGCGATTTTCCCTCAAAACTTCTGCTGTGCGACAAATGTGATTGGGGGATATCACTTGTCTCGCCTAAAACCCATTATCGTTTCTTTGCCCAAGGGGTTCTTGTTATTGCCCTTCATGTTCCAAGATCAAAAAGCTACCCACAATGGTGCTCCGGAGCAGAGCTAAACTTCAGAAATCCTACACTCCTGTTACATATGAGAGCGACGGCGACAGCGACAGCGACAGCAATAGCTCTGACTCCGATCAGGACGACACCTGCTGCGAGAAATGCGGCTCCGGCAACTTTCCGTCCAAGCTTCTGCTGTGTGACAAATGTGATAAGGGATATCACATGTTTTGCCTGAGACCCATTCTTGTGTCTGTGCCAAAGGGCTCTTGGTTTTGCCCTTCATGCTCCAGGATCAAGAAGCCTAAATGTAAGTTTAGTTGTTCTGATTTTCCCCTCTATTTCAAAGATTTTGTTTTACCCCATTTTTTCTCTAATTTTAAGTGTTTAGACGTAGTTTTTTTATTTCATTTGTTGATTTCTTTGATGCCTATTTAATTATGCATAGATTTTTCCAATTGGGTAGCTGATTAATATCTAGATTTTAGGTTTTTGATGGAGAATTCGGTGGATCAAGATTGATTTTTCTGATTGTATGATTAATGGGTTAATTGAATTTATTTTTTGGCTTCTCCCAATTCCCACATCAATTATTGGCTTTGTTTTTCCTTATGTTCAGCTTTCCCTCTTGTTCAAACTAAAATTATTGAATTTTTCCGGATCCAAAGGACCAAAGAATCAATCAAGAATCAAAGTGAAGGTGAGTAAAAAGCCTAATCTTTGTCCATTCTGATTTCAAATTTTCTTCTTTTAATTCCTATCCCGTTCACATTGACATGAACGAGGTCTTTTGTTTTAAATTTGTTCAGATACCCTAAAGAAACGAAGGCGGTCTAGTAGTATAGGGAGGTTGAAAAAGAAAAGGAAACTGTTGGCGTATAATCCAACTGAGGATCCTCAAAGGAGATTGGAACAAATGGCCTCACTGGCCACAGCTCTGAAGGCTTCTAGAACAAAATTCAGTAATGAGCTTACCTACAGGCCTGCCATGGCCCCACGGTCAGCGAATTGTGCGGCTCTAGAGAGGGGAGGAATGCAGGTAATTGAGTTGAAGCACGTTGGCTTTTGAAGAAAATTTTGACATTGTTCAGATAAAGAAAGTTTTCTGCTTCTTTGGATTGTTAAATTATTAGTTATTTGGTATTTTAGTATTGCATAGAGTTAAATTGGAAAAACAAACATTGATTAAAAGGAAAAATCTGTCGACTTATAAATGATATGGGCCTCCCAACTTATTGTTAATTGGTTTTATGTTGAAGGCCAAAAAATAAAATTGGTTTTATGTTGGAGTCTAATTATCACATATGTATAAGTATATACTTATTTCACAACATACTCCATTAAAATCTGATCAAATTGCATTTCAGGTTCTGTCAAAAGAAGACACTGAAACCTTAAATTTGTGCAAAAGGATGATGCAAAGAGGGGAATGTCCTCCTTTGATGGTTGTTTTTGATTCCAATGAAGGGTATGTGTATTGGTATGGCTTTTGCTCCTATTTTGTTCATTGATGTGCAGATTTAGATCCTCATCTTGGCTTGGTAATTCGATATGAAACAGGTTCACTGTACAAGCAGATAGATTTATTAGGGACTTAACAATAATTACTGAATATGTTGGAGATGTTGATTATTTGATGAAGCATGAATATGATGATGGGGATAGCATGATGACCCTGCTTTCTGCAGCAGACCCTTCAAATAGCCTTGTCATTTGTCCTGACAAGCGTAGCAATATTGCTCGTTTTATCAGTGGCATTAACAATCACTCTCAGTAAGTTTGGCTCCATCATTAGACAATAAACATTCAGCATATACCTTTATGCATTGTTTAACACCTAGCAATGTTTACAGATTTAGGCAATAGGCTCGTTCACATGCAAACAACACAATGGACTTGCATATGCTTGTTCAAAATTGTTAGTGCTTTGAATTTGCAATTTAGCACTGTCTCTTGATGCAGGGATGGGAAAAGGAAGCAAAACCTAAAATGTGTGAGGTACAATGTCAATG